TTTGAGTTAGCAGTTGACCTGACAGTAATGAAGATTGTTGTGCGCGGCTGAGTTGATCTTGATTTGTAATGACTGCCTTCGTTACTTAGTGCTGATGTAGCAGCAATACCGTACGAGGTTGGCTTTAACAAACCAATTTACCCTTTCACAGTTTGTTGTTAGATGCTGTTGAGTCGAGTCTGACCCAGTGTGACCCTCTGAACAGCAGACGTGACTCCTGTCCTATCCTCAGCATCCCTGATACACTGGAGCCCATTGCTGCAGTCAGCACGTCCATCCACCCTTTGGGAATCTTCTTCTCTTTCATCACTGTCCACCTCTCCAAGCATGATGTTCCTCCAAAGAATTGCATCTCCTAGCAACATGTGTAAAATATCAGAGGTGAAGCTTCACCGTCCTTGCCTCCAAGGGACGCTCTGGCTGCCCCTTTTCTTAGGCATACGTGCTTGTTGTTTTCACAGTCCGTGGGACATTTGACACTTCTCTCACAGCACAACTCAAAGAAGTCAGTTCCTCTGTCATCCTTATTCATTGTCCTTTTAGATGTATAACAAGTAATTGAAAAGACCATGGCCAGAATCAGGCACACCTTACTCTTCAAACTGACACTTTTGTCCTTCAGCATCTTAGAGGAGTCTCTGACGGCTCACTAGCCCATCGCAGTATGTCTCCTCATCTCCTGATGGCTGGTAACAAGGATATTAGGAGCCGAGATATTTTCATTCAGAGCTCTAACTTGAGAGGAAGGCGTTCTTCAGCAGCTCAGTTTATGAAGAGGATACTCGTCTTTCTCAGCATCCCTGTGCCAGGCATTCCGTAGACTTCTCTGTGTTCTTTGACATGAGTCTTCTGTTAGTGTAGGAGGTTGTTAGCACCGGTCCTCCAGATTCAAAGGGCAGGCTCCACTCCTGACTCTTTTGGTTTATTCTTATATGTCTCAAAAGAGATTGACTTACAGCACAATATAAGCTGCTCTGCGCAGGACGAGACAGTCGGCATCCACAGTGACGGGCTGGAACCCCAAAGGGGCAGTTCCACTCTGCCCTACCACTTCACGGGAGTCAGAACCAACCTGAGAGCGATGTAACCCATAAAAATGAATTCCTCTGTACGGGAGAGTAAGCTAATAAACCTCTAACACGCTCGTCATTCCTCTACATGGATTCTAATTAACATCAATCACTCCCACAAGAGGTTTTCTAGGAGAAATGATACTTCTACATCTGTATCTCGTGTTGGCATAACTCCCTCTGCTACTGGCCCAGTATTGTGGAAGTCGAGCTCTATAGCTAATACCTAGGACCATTCCGTCATCACAGAATCGAAACTCATTGTGCAACACTGTGACTCCAGTCCTAGCCAAAGGCTTAGGGAACACAGTTCCTTCCTTAATTTTGTACATTTGAAATGAAGAGAATTGTCATTGTTAGGTGCTATCGAGTCGAGTGTGACTCTAGTGAACTTGGAACAGCAGATCTGAACCTTCTATCCTGTGCCGTCCTCATCATCTCTGACCTGCTGGAGCCCAGAGTTATCGTCTTATGTTAATCTGCCTCATTGAGGGTGTTCCCCACCTTCACTGACCTTCTACTTTTCCAGGCATGGTGGTGTTTTTCCAAAGACCGTCCTTCCTAACCACATGCCCTAAGTTGTTATTGTTGTTATGTTCTGTCAAGTCTCTTGCGACTCATAGCGACCTTATGTACAACAGCCCTAAACCCTGCTCTATCCTTTGCCAATCTTATTGTCTCCGACATGCCTATCTCCATTACCCCAGTGACGGAATCAATCCATCTCATCAAGGGTCTTCCCCTCCTGCGCTGTCCCTCCACTCTCCCAAGCATGATGTCCCTCTCCAAGGACTGGTCCCTCCTTA